CGAATGGGACTTAGTCTCTGCAGCTGAAATAAGGCTGAAAAAAACGGCTGAAAAAAGACTAAGTCCCATCGCCGAATGGGACTTAGTCTCTGCAGCTGAAATAATTTCCCATTTACTGAACCAAGTGGGAAATAGCAAGGCAGGCACAAAGGGTTTGCACCAGGTCTGGGGACACAGGGGACACCGTCTTAAAGGGGCCATGTCCCCAACAAGTCTGGGGACACGGCCTTAAAGGGGCAGTATCCCAATCTTCCTGATGTCCCAAAAAAGGTGTTTAAAGGGCCAGCACCAGTCACATAAAGAGTCCATAAGCCCCAATATGCCCACCGACAGTCTTAAAGGGCCATACACCAAATAAAAGTGCATACATTTTCACAATCTCCCAGGGGCCATAGTCATGCGGGAGGAGGCTGGAAAAAAGGCTTCTCCACAACCCAGGGAAACAGGGCAATTTGCCATTTAAAGGGCCCGTTACAAATAGCAGTTTGTAAACAGGTGTCAATCCATATCTGCCAAGTGACCCTATGTAGGGGGAGCCGTCTCTATTCTGCTCTGTGTCCGTGTGCATCAGGGGCTCTGAGGACAGGTGTCAATCCATATGTCAAGGTGTCAATATGTCATATGTCAGGTGTCAATCCATATTGATTGTGATTTAGGAATGTTAGGTGATTTCTGCCCTTTATGGATTAAAACCAGGCTCTGTATCAACTGTGTAATTTTCCATGGGAGTTTTGCCATGGATCCCCCTCCGGCATGCCACAGTCAGGTGTTAGTCCCCTTGAAACAACTTTTCCATCCCTATTGTGGCCAGAAAGAGTCCCTGTGTGTTTTAAAATTCGCCTCCCCATTGAAGTCAATGGCGTTTCGGGCGGTTCGCCGGTTCGCGAACATTTGCGGAAGTTCGCGTTCGCCGTTCGCGAACCGAAAATTTCGGGTTCGCGACATCACTAATCCAGTGTGTGGCCATATTTCAGTGTGGAAAAAAAACAGTGTCCTATCGCGTCAGCAAAGGTAGCAAGCATAGTCACACTGCAAGACTCATCCAGACAGGGTGAAAAAACACTATTATAGAAGGCATTTGAAAAAAAGGGAGAGCAACTACAGCTAAAGTCATTTAATTTGAAAACAGAGAATTCTTCCTACTGACTTTTTGTTTTACTTTTTGGGTAAAATGCCTGTTTTGAACTTAAAATGACTACCGTCTCCCATTTTTTCCACTTCCTGTGTTTTTAATCCATATAATTAAAATTGTAATTTTGGCAATTCAGAATTTGCATTGCAGAAATGGCAAATATTACATAACCATTAGGGCAAGCAATATATTGTTGCTATTTTGCATGTCAGCACAGTCAAATTCCTTTTTATTTTTCTGTTTCTGCCAGTTTCCAACTTGCACAAGTCTAGTAGGAAGTAATGTTTCCAGTACTTTAGTGTTTGAGCATTTAATTCTTAAGGATTCTTTCTCATAGCCACAGTAAACTACATGCCTTTCTTTTCTCTAGCGAGTTGGCAATTATATTTACTGAGCTGTGGGTATTTGATGTACCCATCATTTGTGGAAATCAGTGAACTTTAACAATAAATACTTTTTTTCATTACAAATGACATGGATATTCAATAAAAACTGAGTTGGAGACACCAGATTCTGCATCTTTTCCTTTCTTTGGGTGTTAGTATATTTGATGTTATTGATTTAAAATGAATCTTGAGTTGAATATCAAACTAACGTCACTATTTAATTTACTCATGGAATAAAATGAGGTATTCATCCCTTGCTATGGAATTGTATATTTACTCCTAGTAGAAAGACCTAAAATAAACAGAAATTATTTCTAGAGAACATTAGGGCAACAATCTTGGAATTAAAATGCTTAATCAACAGTGTATTTCTATTCCAAACTTTCTAACAAATTACTTAGTGATGGGCAGTAGAATATGTTCGACAGAAATTAACAAAACAGTATTTGATTCTGCTAAGATAATTATTAACTATAATGATATGATTTGGATTTCCTATGCAAAATGTTTTTCCAACATAATTAAATTAACTCGTTTTTAAACTTTTATAGATAAAAGCCTTAAGGTTACCTTAATATTTCACATCAATTAAATAGATACAGCTGAACAAAGTTAGCTGTACAAAAGCATAATTAATGGAAAAATTACGAGTTTCTCATTTAATTCTTGTTGGATTTCTCATCTTATATCTTGTATTATTAAAGATAGGCTACACTAGAAGATATGTGCTTTGAGATGTATTATATGTATAATATGTGTTGTAACACTTGTATCCCCAATAAAATGGTAGGTGTTTTTTTAACAGAACATTAATCCCATATTACCAAACTATAAAAAATCTAAAATATCAGTATTACATTAATTTTAATATGAGCCTTGATTTAATGTTTTTGGATAAGCTTTTCAAATAAATATTTTTCTGTAACATTTGTAAATTATATTTTTCAAAATATCAAATATAAAAAAAGTATATAGAAATATATCAATATTTAATATTTAATTTACTCAACTTCGTTGGTTGTCTGTTGGCGTGTTTGCGGACAGATAGGCATCTACTCTAATATGTGCTGCTAATATCCATGTATTCAGATATTTTGGAAAAGTGTACATACTGTAGTTAAAGATATTGTTCCCTCTGTTGAGAGTTTATTGCGAGAATTAGTCTATTTAAGACAATTCCTGATGATTTCACTTGTTGATAAAATACTAGCAGGCCATGTTTCAATCGCAACTACATTGGTTGTACCTAGATATTGGAAATAAAATATGATTTCAGTTATTAAAGAAGTTGTATCCCTAGTTCTGGAACATAAAAGGTATGAGTAGACTCTTACCTTCTTGAATAACTGATTCACTAAATTACCATTGGAACATTCGGGAGAAAACTGTCAAACACAAATATTCTATATAATTTAAATTTCATTTTTTTCTATTTTTTTTTTAATCTTCCTCACATAAATGCGTTTCCATTTATAGCACATAATATAAACTATCAACCCTTGCAAACTGTTTTGTTTTACAATATTTTGATACACCTTGCTTATTATAATGATGCTATTACCAATTCCATAATGTACAAATGTTTTTATCCTGTTATTGTATTTTATGGATTTTTTTGTTTTTGTTTAGTATTTAAATTTTTCCTTAATGAGTGTTCATTCATTTGTGTTATCTTGATAAATGTTGGTTATATTATTATTGTTTCCTTTGTTGAAATAGCAAAAACTATTCAATAAATAAAATTCACACAAAAAAAATACATAAAAAATAGCAAAATATTTTTCAAAATATTATATAACTTGAAAAGCTTGCCATTATATATTAAACGGAGGCCGTAACCTGAATAGCTTGCACGAGAATGTGAACTAAAATATTTTGTGTATAAATTGCTCTTCAGAGATATAGATGATGAAAATAATACACATTTTCACTATTTTAATTTTTTTTTGTTTCATTCTTTACAGAAATATTGTGGATATGAAATGTTTTATGCAGCTTATAGAAACTTATAATATTTTACTCATGGCCTAAAATAGAAACAGAAGCAGAAATATGATTTTTTTATTTATTTTTTTTGTCACATGCATTAAATGTAAAAAATTTAAAAGTATTTGTAAGAACATTATTATCATTATTAGCAAAACTGAAAACTGAAAATCAAAATGCAAGTACAGTCACACTAGCTAAATGCAGAGATTTGCAAACTGCTATCCCAACAGCAAGCTCTGTATTACTCTGAGTGATATAAGTACCTTTATCCACATGACTCTTAGAATGGAAAAGTTAAGTTTTGTTATTTGAAC